TTAGCGAGTGTAACCGTCCCCTTCAAAAGCGAGAAAGTGTCGGGTGCAGACCAAACACCACAACTGACGACGGCCTCCAAGTAAATCTGGTTAGAAGTTGTTCATAGTGATAGCTGATTTCTTGGTAAATGATAGTTGTAATTAGTGACAATCGATAGAATACAACTGCAACAGGCTAATCATTTCATTGGCAGAAAACATTAACATTTTGTGAAGCCGTCGTCACTTGTGGTGCATGGTCTGCACCCGACACTTTCTCGCTTTTTGAAGGGGAGGGTAAAACGGACGCCCGAAAATCCCAACATTGCAGAGTGTTCTGAGAAATTATGTTTCTGTGATCGCAGAAACATCGTCACCAGGGGCAGCAACACTTTGAATGGTGCGGAAATGATTAGAAATCAAAATTATAAATCAAAAAATTATCAGTATTAATTACGGAATTGCATCCCATTAACATTCGTTTTCGCTTTTGGTCGAAGGAAACGACAAGATATGGATGAATCCAAATAACTGATAAGAGCACGCGCGGCCCGCATCAAACGCACGTCACTTGCAACAGTGCGATAAGGGTGTGTCTCAAGTGGTGCGAATGGAAATTTTAGCACCTAATTAGTGCTGCGTCGCGACTAGGTGCGAAGTGACCTCAAATTTTGGCACTTAATTAGTGCTGGCTGGCGATTGGCGCCAGCTATCTGTGGGCGAGACGCGCCGTACATGCACCATAATGGTGCAAAGGATTGGAGAACAGCGATTTCGGAAGCGGCAAAGGAGATTTCAGATAAAATGTGCTTAAATTATTGTTACTGGTTTTTAAACTTCTGACTCCTGTGAACAAATCAAAGTACCAAAATCGCCTGGGTTCAGGAAGCTGCGATGCATCATTACCCAGAAGGCCACGAAACCATCGTTGGGTAAAAAAAGTTGTGCCAAGATCCCTGCAAGGTGACTTTGCTGCTGCTCAGTCAGTTCATGCGGTACCCACTTGTCCAGCTTTCTTACCTTCCCAAGTACCTTCAGGCGCTCCGAAAATTTCAGTATGCTTGCTCAAGGTTATGCTGCTGGCTGCCGTACACTTGTTTGGAAATCTTCTTCTGCCGGGTCTTCAGAAGGCCGCCGTCAAGAGGAGAATGTCGTCCGTAACCCCCTCACTTCGAATCTAGATTTCCCTAACTTGAAAGCTTCGGAGCCATCGAAGCAGTGTGCTTTTATTGCAACATCCTTAGCCCCACACAGCAATCCTATTCCGAGCTGTCCGCACAGCACCCTCTCCAAATTTCAACTCATAGAAGTGAACCTGCTCAAACCACTACTTTGACGCCTTCACTTCAAACCTTTAAAAAAAGTGAGGCCCGAGTCCCATCAAAATACAATGGCCGTGCAAGAAAGAGAATGAAATGGGCTTTCCAACGATATGCAACAGTACAGCAATCGTATGGAAATTTCTCGGAAAAATATCAAATAATGTATGAGACATTGAAACCGGCATTAATTTCCGGACAACCTAATATTTTTGTGTTCCTTCACTTGATTTTTCTAACCTATTTAGAAAATCAATAATAATAACAATAATAATAATAGCAATAGTAATCATAATAAATATGAGCATCAATTCACTTTGTTTTGTTCCCAGGAGTCAGAAGTCTAAAAACGAGCAATAATAAATTAATAACCACATTTTATCTGAAATCTCCTTTGCCGCTTCCAAAATCGCTGTTCTCCAATCCTTTGCACCATTATGGACATGTACGGCGCGTCTCGCCCACAGATAGCTGGCGCCCAATCGCCAGCCAGCACTAATTAAGTGCCAAGATTTGAGGTCACTTCGCACCTAGTCGCGACGCAGCACTAATTAGGTGCTAAAATTTCCATTCGCACCACTTGATACACACCCAGCGTACAACTTGTTTAAAACTGCCATTCAAGGGCGAACCCAAGCAGAAGATTGTTCTGAAAAAAGGCTCAAATTTTTTCAGGCCTAACTCTTCATCCTATGAAGCAATAGTTCCGCTGAAAAGTGCTTCGTCTATTACCTTTCTACAGGGTGTCCCATTTATATTGCACCACATTTTGAGCCTAAGTTCTGTGGGTGCTTGTAGCTCTTCCTCCGAAATTGGCAGACCTTTAAATCCTCTATCCTCTTGAGAATGGGCATGCCAAATTCCACGGCTTACCGTTTGACCTGCATCTCATAGTGCAAATAAACTTCACAGAGTGCCTAATCTTTCGCACAGCTAGGTCGGACATCCGGTATAAGCATCGCGCTCCGTGGCCTACCGCGCACTGTAGAGAAGGGTGTCGGGTCCATGTCCACTGTGAAGGGGAAACCTCAAGAAACAGAACCCGTCAAAAATGACCCCTTCAACTTCCAAAAATACGACCTCCTTTTCTCCATCTTGTGACCTTCATCGGCCCGAAATACGACCCCCTTGAAAAGATTCAAATACGATCCCCCTACAGACACCCTGATTCCTCCTAATCTTCAAATCATTTCTTTCGAGTTTTTCTTTCATCTTTTTCTCCGAACATGACCAGACAGAGTGAAGCCTTTTATTAATTCCAACAAAACGACACAATAATGAGATCAAACCGTTTACATAACCTTGAATGGATAGACAATATTGTATGAACTAATAAATAACTAGCATAGTTGCCAATGATCCGTAATAACTTCGTATAGCACCTTTCTCAGGCAGCCATCTCATTCACTTTGGTGTTGGGGCTGTTGGCTCGGAATGAGCCGGTGCAGTACTTCTCGTCGGACGCATCCCAGCAGTCCTCGACACCATCGCACAAACCTCCAGGAGCCACACATTTCTTATTGTCATGACACTGGAATTGTCCTGGGAGGCAGATGCGAGGCGCTGAAAGGACATTGGGCTTTTTTTGTGGTCTGCTGGAGTTAGGTCTGAGCCTTCTGAACTCCTTGGGTTAGCCATGGGTTGGGTTTGTTATCCGATCACTCTCATGGTCAGGGGAGGTTCCATCGTTAAGCGGGAATAAGCCATGCTGGTCAGCGGAACGAGAGATTAGCAAGAACATAATATACGAATTCTGATGCAACACATGTTAATGAGGGAAATGTTAGTTGAAAAACAAATAAAGACCAATGACATGCTGGACAATTCAAGCTGAGATGTGGTAGTGGGGAAGAGTCCCAAAAGGAAAGTCTTGGAGACGTTATCGGATGCACCAGGAGTAGAGTAGTTGCTATGTGTGGGAAACTCACGGCAGTTAGTCTCGCTTCCGTGCTTTGACAGTGGGAGATGCCGTCGCAGAGATACAACATCGAAACGCATCTGCAATGTGTAATTTCTAGCTGTTCTGTGTAAAATCGAGGGAACTTTGAAAGTTGTGAAATGCGTATCAAGCTATGCAAGTTAGTTAAGCATATCCAACCTTCAAGGACACTGGATTTATGTTAATGTATTGTCTATAGAATGAGTAAAAGACCTTAGGAATGAGGTCGCGCAAGCGCAAGAAAGGAGGGATGACTGGGTGGGACGCGTTACCGCGTCACAATGTCCCACGAGGTGTGCAAGGTGGGACGCGTTACCGCGTCACCGTCAACGTGTCAAAGCCACCGTTCGGGATTAGGAACCGAGAGCCAGTTTCTCTAGAGTGTTGTGGGTTCTTCATCAGCAAGAGTCGCGATACTGTCCCTACGTGGCATTTGCACCCTCCTGCGTTAACTGTGCTTTCTCGTCTTTCCCCTCTTCATGCAGCGCAGTGTCTCACCTTCATCCCATGGCCGACCTCACGGAGAATCTTTGTTTTTTCAGAGTGCTTTGCTTTTCTTCCCAATAAGGTTCCTTATGGGCGAAGGTGGTGGAGTGGCAAGTGGCACGCTTACCACGCAAGCGGTCCGGAGAATCAAATCCTGGATCGTGAGTCGTCCGGGCCAACCAAGCCTTCCATCCCTCCGGGGTCGGTTAATTGGTACCAGACTTGTCTGGGAGGATAAAAAACACTGACTTGTACATCGGCTGGCCCCCGCAAGTCATTGTATAGGCCACATCGCATTCAAACGCCACTACGAATGTACAAATGGAAGTAGAATGCGTGCCGCATCCCAAAAGATAAGAGAAACTGCGCAATTGCTTTTAATCCTCGTTTCATGCTTTAACGCTCTCCCTATTGCCACGCATTCGTCTGAATTTTCGACAGATAACACACCAATTAGATCACAAGAAAGGCTTTTAAGCAGGATAAATAGAATGTACTCACTTTGCTTCAGTTCCACCACATTCGATATGATTTGAATCGCAGTTGCTGGTGCAGTTCTTTCCGTTTTTGTGTAAGTTCGTAGCCTTCTCCACATCCACATTTTGCCGTTCGATTTGGTCCAAGAAGACAAAGCTGACTACATCCGAGAGTGTCACATTGGGAAGGGACTGAAACAGAGTGTGGCTTACGGTTTCGGTTGTGAAACTTATACTCGCTGATACGAAGTGACTCTGCTGCTTCTTAAACAGCTGAGCCGCATAATGAGTTTCAAGGTAACCTACAGTGTGGTTGCACGGACGGATGGAAGATCTTCAGTCCGTAGGGCAGCAAAGCAGTCTGTGCCACTACCGTCACATTTTCTCCTGTTAGTTTGTCTGCTCGCAAAGAGACCCCTGAATCAAAAATGATTTTCAAGGGTCATTCCAGTTAGGCCGGGGCATCTGAATGCTAAATCTCGACGAATTATGTGATCGACTTATTCAGCTTTTGACACATGTCAAGGGACCCGCCTCGACCCCACTCTAGACTGCCTACACTTCTCTTGGTCGGATCTTACCGTAACTTTGAGCATAGTGGATCATGATCCCCCTACTAATGAACCGACTTTCTTTTTTTTAAAGAGGTTCAAAACTACAAAGGCTGAGGTAAACGAAAAACCGCTACCTGTAGGTCCAGTCACTCCAGTACAGAAGATCGTCAGCTACAGAAAGAGCGAAGACATGAGGTACGGTTCCAGAGTCGGAGATGATCGTACGGCGACAGCACCCATCAAGCGGTACCTGCAGTACAAGAAAGGCTGGAGGACCAACAGGCTGCCCGAAAACATGACAACATAAAGTAAAGTAAGTGTAAGCCCTTTCTATAAGGCTTTCTTCTTCGCTGTTGATATGAAAAGCCATTTGTACAACAAAAAAAACCCATCTATGACGTCATTGTAGCGCATCAGCCATATAATATTTTTCGGCCGTTAGATATCAACAGGTGACCGTTTGGCCATTGATTCGTTCGGTGGTATCTTTTTGAAAGAGGAAGCCGTCAATGGGCGCGGCTAATGAACGCTGTCCGACCCCAGTCCGTCCAAATCATGCATAATTAAATTAGTTAAACGATGCTGGGTACAAAGCTTGGCGCAACATCAATGAGCAGGAGAGTGGAGCAAACAAGTAGAGAATGGTAGGAGATGAGCGATACTGAGCGTCGCCAAGAAAGCGTGAAAGGATTGCTACGAGAGTGCGGACAGGAGCGAGAGCGGATTTAGACACCCATGACGTCATTCGTGGGCGGAACACGGGTGGTAGGTGGACGCCTCTGCACTAAGCTCAGGTTAGAGCATTCATTGAAGAGGGGCTCAGTAGAAATCAAAGTAGAGTGCAGTAGGTGCGCCCGAACAATAAAAAAATAAAAAATGTCCTAGATACCAAGGAGTAGCACCTTTTGCCCCTGACCTCCGTATAGAAGGGCCTCGTCGGGAAGACGTTATCAAGGCGAATTGGCCTGATCTACATCCCTCTAAAGCGTACGGTCCGCGGGACAGATGTCCGACTGCGAGGGAGGCTAGCCAGCCTTGCGGAGCCAGCGCCGTGCCAGGCGCTAGGCATACCTTTCATTGCGGACTCCTCATGGGTCTTTACGCTGGGAATGTTCTGGTAGCCACATTCGTTGTAACATGGGGCAATTGCAAATATACGGGCAGCTTCCGTGGTAATGCATTCAAAACTGAGAAGAAATCTCCTTTTTTGATCAAACTCAGCGACCAAGCCTGAAGGCAATCGGGACTAACACCGTGGCGAGGAAGTGAGAGACTCCATTGTGCAGAGCTGGTTCCATATGCCGGGGCTCTGGCCGTCTCATAGGCTTTAGTCTTATAGTTGAGGATGCCCCTTCATCTTGCGATAGCGCCTAACCTGGGTGAAGTCTTGTGAAGCTGTGATGATGAAAATAGTAAGCTTTGTACATGACGAACAAAACCAAATTTCGGTTCCAGCATCTCAACATGACCGCAACCGCGGTCAAATCACGTTGTGATAGTGAAATCATTCCTTAAATGCTGATCGGCTTAACAAGAGGGCTTACCCTTTCGCCGGATGAACTGCAATCGCTCTCGGCAGCCGCATCACTCCTTTGTACAAAGCTCGTCGATATCGGCCAGTCAGCGTTTGCACAATGATATCTGCCCTGAATAAGATTTATTCGATTAAAGTAATACCGGGTATAATAATACCGGTGTAATAATAATTTACTCTATGATGCTTCACATTTCAGCCTGTTGTGGTCCAAGGAAATGGTCCTGAACCAGGGAATGGACACTACTGTCTAAACCTGAGGGGGGAGGAGCTCCGGATGAATGGATGACAATATGAGAAAATTGCATAACACCAGTCCTAGCGAAAATCTACTTGGAACGAGTCGTTCACCTACTATCTTACTATCAGCGCTAGATAACCCAAAATGCTTCCTGCACATGGGTAGTAAGAGCAGTGCGTCGGCTGGCCAATCTCCATTTCTACTAGCTGATCTGCTTTCATCTCAAACTTAACCCTTAGATATTGATTGCGAGGTATTTTGAGAACATATTCACATAAAAATTAGCCGCGCTCTCGAGACGAGGCACGCTCTTCGTGGATTTCGTCATCATGAATACGACCCCCTCTCCCCATTGCTTTACTTTCTCACATATCTTACCCTACCCCTTCTCGACCACTTGCCCGTTGTCCACCTCTCTTATATAAGATTGCCTCACTTTCCACTTAGGAGAAGACGACCCCCGGTGAAGGAGACCTTTATCTTCACTCCCTGATGCAGTGGTTAGGTAATTCGATGTGCCCGATCTCACGACTCTCGTGAATAATGCGGGGCTCCACCAATTTGGCTTACCCAAGGACCGAAAGGGTAAAGGTTGCTTTTTGTTAAGGAAACACCTTAGTATTTCGCCAAAGAACAAGTAAGAAAGAAATTGACAAAAAAGAGAATTCAGGGGAAAGCGAACTTTCTCAGACTGTAGAGATTTCGTCCAATCCAATCAACTGCGATGCCTTCGAGGCCGTCAACGTCGTACTTCTGAACGGTCTGAGGAAACGTGCCGTCCAAGTCTAGTCTTTCAATCGAATTCGAGCCAACATCTGCATAGAAAATGCGGCGTTCCTGAAAGGAATACCGTTGGAACAGCTCATGGAATCGTAGCAGAAGTACCGCTTGAAACGTACAGTGATTTGAAAGATTAAGTGCTTAAAAAAATTACGAAACAACCGAGATTTCCTTCTCCGTTTCTCCGCTACAAGAGAGTACGCCTACGCCAACAATCACACAACGAATAAATGAAAAGGCTTCATTGGAAGGTAGGTGTGGAGGTTTTTTGCCCAGGGAGAGAGATGGGAAATCTTCTGGACCGTGTAAAGGAGCCGATGTTCGAGTTTGACAATTACATGCGGTCGGCGAAAAAGATCACTAACTCTTCCACTTTTCTCCACTTTTCCTCCTCATCCCCCCCCCCCCCTCCCTCAGTATCTGTGGCGCGCAAAGCAGGTGGGAGGGGGTTGTCCAAATGGCTCAACTGTAGGAAATTTCCACTAAGTTTCAGAAGCAGCATCCGTAAGTTCGAACAAGCTCTAAGGCGATGCGGTAGTTTTACCCGGCATCCAGGAATGATAAGAAAGCCGAGAATTCAGTCGAGAAGAGCAAAAAACAGGAATCCTTGCTTCGCGCCGTGATTTTCACCTAAGACGTGCACACGGCCTAAAGATGGCGGAGCGTATGGACGAGTTTACCGCAAATCATGCGGTGGCTCCATGCCAAACCATGCTCCAGCTCGAATTGCTCCAGTCGTGCAGGTGCTGGCAACACAGCTCGCCCAAATCACTAGCTGGGTGAAGTGCTTAGAGGGCATGGCGATTCTCAAGAACTGCTCAGCTACCAGCGCACTTTACGCCGTGAAAGCGCTACATCTCGCTTTCTTGGGCTAAGTTACTGCTTCGTGGCGATACACTTCCTCCAATTTGCCATCATCTTTTTTACCTTAAGTGGCTCCCTTCTAAATCCTGTTCACTGTAACCAAGCTAACCATAATTCCAAGACTTCAGTTATAATATGAGTGCCAGATTACAAATGTATGACCTTGTCAGTGGCTGAAAATTCAAGCTTCAACTCGGGATAGTTCAGATTTTGACAGTGGAACTGATTTTAGATACATGGTTTTGAGCGTGACCACAACCAAGCATTCTGCGACCGCCTCCTATTAGCTCTTCAGATGATTTTCCTCATTCGTTCAAACACTTTTTCACTGTCCCTCAACGGTTTCAGATTAAATACCCCCCCCCCCCCCACTCTAACTTACTGTTCAAAAAGTGGATCAGTGATTTATCGTTTTTTTTTTCAAAAGAAAGGATAGGTATTGAAGCTCGAATTTTCCTGTGCTCTTAACCTCCATGAGCAATTACATACATTAATGACATTAAGCTCACCATTATATCGACGTCAAGCACAGCGGTTTTTTGTAAACCAGCTTTTTGCAATTCGAATGAACCTCCACTTAGTGAAATATTCCAGATTGATTGCCCATGAGCGAAGAACAGCCACATCGGGTCTAAAAAATACAAGCATATGTGTGTAATATTCTAGTCATATCACTGAAACATTCGCTGCATCTTTAGCAGTTCATACTTCACGAGGAGCGTGTGAAGTAAGGCGTAATAACTTCGCGCTGGTCAGAAGATCAAGCTAGGGTCGTCGGTAGTCGGCCAACAGTCCTCCTTCACTCCAGGTCGGTTATTAATACCAGAGTTGTCAGAAGGGTTGAAAACACTGACTTGTGCATTAAATGGCCCCAGCAAGTCATTGTGTAAGCCAAACCGCATTCAAATTGCCCCTACGGTTTGGATGAAAGTGGAATGCATGGCGCATCCTGGAAATGGTTGATGCATGTCGAATGCTTTACCCTTCATCTTTCATCTCCCTCATCACCCACTGCCTTCAAGGGCCAACTCGGACTAGGAATTGGATCATTATTCCCATGGCGGAATGTGATCGCATGCTCCACTGAAAAGCAGCACCTTCAAAAGAGCTTGAATGGCGCAGTAGCTTCGATAAAATTGTCCCTGCCATGATTTCTACACTACTTCGCATGGCGCACAACACGCCTTGACGTTCTTATCAGCTGGTTGAAAATTGGCCAAACATGACGTCATTAGCTGCTCGTATACAAGCAAGCAGCTGCTACTGTTACTTTGGGCGGTTCGCAGCTAGAAGCAGAAATGAGGAAGTGTTCGTACGAGATCTGCGCGGAGAAATATTGTGATTCTATCTCACTCAAATTTTTGGCTTGGGACCCATCACTCACGATAAGAACGATAAGAACAAAAAATGCATTTGTTTTAGTGGACAATCCGGAAAATTGGGAAGTCTTTTACGCGTTCAATTTCCCGCCGTACATCTGTCACAAATGTTGGCGGCGGAAACGCTTCCACTGCGTTCTCGAAGTGCCTTCACTAGGAACTCTTTTGGCGTCCAAAAACAACGGTTTGCCCATTTTGGTGCCAAGGAAATGGGAAACTGAGGAGGAGAGAGGATAGACGAGAGAGCACAACAGATGAGCAGACGCAGACACCAGCGTGTTGCAGATAAAAAAACGGAAGCGGTCGAAGCGGCCTGAGCGGAACAGCTCTCTTTAAAACCGATTCATTCACATGATCTCATCGTAGGTTGTGCCTTGGGATTGAAAGTCAATTAGTTCGATCCACGACTGCCGTAACTTTCAATAGTGTCCCAAGAATGTTGGGTATGAACAAAACTGTGGTCCCAGGTAGGACTCGAACCCTGCCTACCAGCAAATGTGCAGCAAGCTTCGCCGTCATTATCGCGGGTACGAAGGATGTAACGGAGCAACGTACCTTTATCATTACGAATACATGTTCTGTTGTTGGTAGCCAGGCGGTAGTAGCCGGGATCACAAGTACATTCATAGCTTCCAGGATGGTTGACGCATTTTTGTGAACAACCCGATTCGGCCGATATGCATTCGTCGACGTCTAAACAAGAACACGATCCGTTCACAGAGACTAAAATGGACACCTTCTGGCCATAAGCTTGAATAAGCGTAACTCCGTTGCACTCGAGTACTTCAAGAGCCAGCTAGGGGATTAAGAAACGCTTGATTTCAGGCATATTCTGTGGCAGGACAATATGACTCTACTCCTTCATTTCGAGACGAACACTCCGAATTTTCGAACGGTTCAAAACGAACATACACGTTCCTCTTTTCATGTCGTAGTAGATAACCATGTCAGACGACTATTTACAGTTGCCCGTCTTTATCGCCACACCTCTAATGTTTCTCTTGAAAAAGAAAAAATCAGCGCAAGATGCAAACCTGGACTAACGGTAGCGTTCCAGAGTTGGCGGCCGCCCTCGACTGCGCGGTTGCGATTGGCGATGACGCAAAATGAAACATAGGTACTTGATTAGATAGAAAGGAGAATAAGCGACCATGGCGATAAGAGAAGGATATGCATCAATCAGTCCGCTCCGCCCACAGCGATCACCTAATCGCCCATTCGCCTAATCGATACGTATGCTATTCCTTGCAGATTAGTCCCTAATGGCATTAATCGCCTCCAAATCGCATTCACGGTCGCCAACTTCCTGGAACGCATTTCCAAGTCGGTTCAAGAGCACAATGTCGCTCGCAGGTACTGCCTCATGTAGTGAGATTGTATGTCATTAATGATTTTTCTAAGCGAATTCGTCGATTGATCAATTATCCGTCTCTTGAGCTTTGGCAGCTCTCGGGCAAGAACTATAACCCTAAAAATAAGCTTTGCAAATTTCATCCGTCTTACCTGGTTCGGGGCGCCTTTTAGGTGCAGCCGTATTCAGCACGCAGTGGCTGCCATTTCGATAAGCCAACAGTGACAGCATTGCGATTTCCAGCTAAAACGAAATTATATTAGAATATAATTGACCAGAGACCACTCATTCTGCAGCCAATCACGTGGAACAATCAAGCTGTGCGAATGACTACCTGACCCCGATGTAAATAAGAGCACAGAGTGCTGCCCCTCCACACCTCTAAACCCACCCAATGTGTGGGATGACGGGGAAACACCACACAACCCTTTAGACCTCCAGTGGAGATTGTGGATACTGCACGTATACATTGAAGCTAAGCGCCGGGATTAGGCTCACTCACTCACTTAGTAGGAACCATCTCGCGAGTGTTAGCTCACTACCCAGAGAAGTCGTGCTACCTTCGTCGCACTACATGCACTCTTAAGGCACTAATCGTTATGGACTTGCAACCGTCGCAACCATCCCGCCCACTGCGGTGAGTACAAGACCGACGGAACTATTCGAGCAGCTACCTTCTTTCGTCCTAGAGCAGGCGGCTGCTGGTAACCTTTGTACAGAAATGAAGCCTCGAACCCTGAAAATTACCAAGGCTACTGAGGAACAGCTTACCAGTGGTGGGGATTGATTGAAGGCAGTCTTCACCTTACCAGCAATCTCAAGGCCAGGCTGTCGAGTGCTTCAAGTCGCCTACTAGGGGCGCTGTCATTACGTGGACGTCAGCATCGATTTCACTCAGTATCCATACGGGGCGGTCCGTGAACCTAACTGGACACACACTCATATAACCCAACGGCTGGCCAGCATCTTCAAACACACACATCGTTGCAAGCAGCAAACGCTCACTTACTTCTCACTCACGGCCCAACCATTTGCACAAGTATGGTGATTTTGGGATCGCGGCCTACGATACTTCTACTATGGCTTGGTACGCAGTATTAGCAGGTTAGTACAACTTTCCACATAGTTATGTTTACCTCGATTTTTTGTATATAGATTATTGTCTTTTTTGGCACTCTCAACCAGAAAACAGTGCTTTACGTTCCTATAACTGTGACCAGTACCTTGACAGCTTCTTTACAGGTCTTGTAGTTGCTCTCCAGTAGACAGTCGATATAGGTCTGCGTGATAAGGCACTCATACGACGAGTAGGTCAGATTGGAAGCGGATGGATGACCTGAAAATTTTCATTCGTTGCTCCCTCGTTGCCACTTGCGCAAATTATTTCATTCTATAAACACTTCAGTTCCTTGTTTATGTGACGGAAAATCCATCCGAACGGGTAGCATTTCAGCTACACAACATCCAAACGTGTACTATTGTTCAAATTGATTTGGGTGCCATATAACGAATTTTCTCTACCTAGCTTATAGAAAACGGTCAATAAACGTTAGTATCGGTTAACCCAAGTCTTGGTTTGACATAGCATAATTATGTCTTTTTCTTCGAACCGAAGTCCGAATCTAATCAATGATTTTACGCTTGCAGGGTGACAGTGGAGTATGAGTGTAACGACAATAATGAAAAAACGGTAAGAGCCCGTCGACATTCCCTTGTAGAGCGGTAAGTCCCTATTAAGGCCTTATTTTTTCCCTGTCTTTAGACTGTTCTGAAGCCAAAAACTGCAAATTTTTCACCAAATTTTTTAATTTCGACGCACGCCCCGCCCACTGGAGGCGGAGTTTAGCATGGCCAATATATTCCCTTAAATTCCCGACTCCAGTGGCGGCGAGCGAAAAAGCAAGCTACTTTATCGTGATTTGACTAAATGGTGTTGGCTTTGCCAATCGGCAGCCTGCCTAGCGCCCGGAGGGGCTCGGATGTGTCAAATCGACTCGAAAATTATGTAGACTCTCCTTTCTTGTGTCTTTTTTAGGGGGAAAGCTTGATTTCAAACAGAAACCCCGGACCTCGCCTTTATATTCCAAAAGGCACGCTCCCGAATAAAAATTGGTGTATAACAGCGTTCAGTAATGAAGATGGTGCGGATTAGAGGTTTGTCGTAATACATAATGGGTTGTCCTCTGATACTCAAAAAGTGAAAAAGAAAGCCAAACATTTATTTACAACATTGAAATTACGGGCTTAAATTTTCTGTAAGGTCAGCCGTTGTACGAAAGAGAGGCATAGCGAGCTAGAGAAGCGCGGATACGCGAAAGAAGACGCCGTGCGAGAGGGCACAGACATCCGGCCACTGCCTAACAAATAATAAAAGAATCACCAATGACCAGTAGTCTGGGCATTGGCTATGCTTCACTGTCCTTGTGGCTCACTCGAGCAGTGATGACGGCGCACCAAGAACTCGCAAACAGCTCTATCCTACCCAATGAACGGATTACTTCAGTGGTCTAATTCCGAGGCGTGCATACGAATATAACACAATCAAAAATGGTGATCGAAGGAGAGTACCCCTTCCCCCCCCCCCATGGGAAAACTTGTTTTACATGAACGTGACAATTTGCGCGACAATTTCATGTGACTATTTGCAAGCAGAGTCAACCCTGCGTTGCGCAGTTCGCAACGGCACGTTGAGAGATCCTCAACGCACGCTGTATGGGCGGAGACACAGACGGCTCGAGCATGCGAGTGTGAATGTTCGCGCGAGAGAACGTGTCTAATCGGGCGAAACTGCGCAACGTGGCGTTGAGAACTGCGCAACGCAGGGTTGACTCTGTTTGCAAGCAACTTTATCGCCCAAGGCTCGCGAGGAATTTGCGCGTCGTGCAGTAAGGACTCTTCGTCCGTGCCACCCAGTAAAACCCACGATTTTTGTTGTAAAAAACTGGTTCACATACCTGGGTCTTCATCTCGGAGGGTGTTCGTCCTATTCACGAAGCATTCTCGTAGTTTCGCATCTCTGAAATACATAATTTTCATTTCACGGGCGAGATAGTGCAGTGGGTAAAGGGTGCTTTATATATTTTGTTTTTTTTTAATTAAATTTAATTTTTTTCAATCTAATTTTTAATTTGAAATATTTTAGTTTTATAGACTAGGGGGATCTGATTTCATGTCAATCTGCTTCAGCTCTTTTTCATGGCATCTTCAGTTATTCGCATTATAAGCCGCAAAGTCAGCAACACTAGTCGTCGATACGCTGTTTGTATGTACGCATTCGTCCTGGCTACTTAATGCTTTCTGGATTCATGGCGCGCAATTTCCAAGAGTAAAGCTACCGCTTTAAAATTCCCGCAAGCACAAAAAGCGTAAATCATTTGATTCAGGCAATAAGCTTAGAAGAGGGCGTTACTTCACAAAATGGGCGGAGCGGCCGCACACCGCAATTACTGGTAGACTCTTGAGGACGCTACGTTAACTCTCATCTCCTTTATAATGAACTATTTTTCGTCTATCACCATTCTCTTCTGTAAAATTTTACATCTCATAAAAACCACACCTTTCAAGTTGTGTCAGGCACAGCAACTCCTCACGAACAAGGCGCAGAAAGCTTTCCTCACACATGCCTTCGTACATGCGCTCAACGTTGGGCGCTCTTGAACGTCTGAAAGTAAATAGATTAGACAGATAAACAGGCGACAGATTTTCTAATCTAACCTGCAATCGGGTTGAATCCCAGTGGTACATCTCTTGTACTCCTTGAACTGATGACACATCTGGTCGATGTCGCTGAGCGGGGATGAATGACGTAACGGTCTGCATTTGCGTACTCAACCAGTGGAGAAATGCACTGAAGCGTCGTCGCTTCCTCGATGAGATCGCATTGAGCGGCAGTCGTCGGCAGATGACCTGCAATTCACTACTGTGGTACAAGTCGCTGCTTCAGTACAGTATCACTACGGCGTGAATGGATTTCGAATGCGTGGCGCATCCAGGAATGGGTTGTCTGTAGCATCGCTTGTTATCGCATAGGATGCCAGTTTTCCACCAGAGGACCCATCTTTGATTTTTTCTACCGCAGCCACTTCCCAAAGGTGGAGTTTACAATGAAAAGGCAGCCCTTTAAAAATCAGGACAGATATGGTCAATGGTACAAGGATGAAGAAAGAACCATGAGAACCCCAAAACCCGAGAAATTGACCCCGCTACTCGTTAATCCGCATTGATGCAACTCTCGTCAACGTTAGCGCTAATGCATCAACGCTAACGCTCTCTGTGCTAAACGACTAGAGTCGAACGGCGAGAGGGAGGCGTGTCCTGGCGCAAGCGGCGTGGGTACTGCCCTGCTGGACCGGTAGGGTAATATCCTTCGCAGTAGAACGCGCATCGTCTCGTACCCTTAGGTGGCCTGAGTATGCTTCCCCACCTCCGACCTCCACCTTTATCGTGAGATCCTCCTTCGATGCGAAATCTTTGTTCCACCATCTCACACTAGAAGTCACTTTCCGAGATGTTCGTGCACTCGCTGCATCGATTGATGAAATTTGCAAGCCCAAGTCAAGGGGGAGGGGTGGCCAGACGAACTGTGTGTCATAGAAGGGGTAGCACGCCTAATAAAAAATGATGCTGGACCCCCTATGCGTTTTCGCGGCGAAGAGGACGCACGCAGAAATTCAGCAAGTCTAAACCATCCCTCTAAACGTCATGCCTCTGCGCCAGCCATCTGACAGGCGTGTGCCGTCCCTCCGATTGACCATACCCGCTGATTGTCTCGTCGCGGTCTAGCCGTTTTTTCAGCAGAGACCAGAGCTGAGAATTAAATTGTAACATTGAAGATATCAGCTAAGCTATGGACCCCCCCCCGAGGAGACGAGCGCAACGGAAGGCAAGGGTCGCATTCTGCAGCTCCATGGTCAGTGTCTCGTTTTTCACTGCTGCGCTTCCGCGCAGCCCCTTACTTTCATACCCTATCGAATGAACAATTTATCGTATCACCTGCCTTAATTGAGCTAGGTTCTGATAACAGAGTCACATGAAGTCCAGACAATTAGGATAGTGGCTTTTGACCCTGCTACACACAGGTGCCACGTTTGCAAAGCCCTTAGCCCATCAAGGATATTTTATGGGTTGTCATAAACTAGTAGTCAAATTTAGCAAGCGTTCACACGGTTGTCATGGAGTAGGACATATACAAATCAAGATGGAGGGATTCCTCGACACTATCTGGCACCAGCATAAAGCAATGAACGATGGAAGGGTATAGACTTAAAGGACGAATTCACGATGAAAAAGCAACCCAAATTAACCTAGGGATGGTGAGTGGTACACGAAAGAAGGAAGAACCATGAGAAACGGCCCAGAACCCGAGAAATGGTACCCCTTCCTTGCCCGTTGATTCGAGCATTGATGCGACTCTCATCGCTGTGCCCTCTTCAACACTACGCTCTCTCAGCTATCTAATCACTCGCCACGTATTGAACTACGGCGAGTGATCAGATGATCGGTGGGCGGAGATCGCCGGACCCGCCAGCTTTGAGGCATGATAGGTCGCCGAGGTCAAATTTTTCCATGCGAATTGCGCGTCAGTTCGCACCCTCAGGAGGTCCGTGGGTCCCTCAACTAGGTCAGTTTCCCTTTCTTCGACCTTCATTCTAATCGTGAATTCCTCCTTTAAGGCGGAATTAGCGAAGACAGAACTAGAAGTTTTTTCGGTTCTACCTATTCTAAGACCGAGTGAAGCCTGATAAATTCATGAACTCAAAAATAGTTACAGTACTCAACATGACTCCGCTATCCTCTATTTTTCGGATTTCAATAGTATCTTAGAATAGGTGGGACTAAAAATGATGACGAACACATCCACGTTTCCGTATACTTCTGCACTAATCGTATTTAGAATGGGCGTAGATTGCGTTTTGTGGTCACATTTACAGGCTGAAAACTTTTGGACTAGTGGACACACGTTACTTTGACCAGTTTTTGCAGAAGAGTGGAAAAAATGAGGTCGGAAAATAGAGTCAATTTGGGCACCGCGCGTTCTTCGGTAAAATTTTTCGAGAATTAATATATGTATAGAACATTTTTCTTCATGTAGTTATTGCGTGAGTATTTATTTTTTATAAATTAGCGAATGTTTCACAAGAATGCTGGGTTGTGAACAAAACTTTCGCCCCAGGCGGGACTAGAACCCGCACCTCTCGCTTTCCGGGCAAGTGCGCTACCAGTTACGCTACCGGGGCACCATTTCATTCCAACTCAGCTTTTCATGGTATACGTACCATAGCTTGTCAGCACTCACACGTATAACGTGTTGAGCCGGTTAGCCGATATCGGCAATGACCGCGAGGCTGAAAGCTTTAGCAATGATTTTGACTTGTTTTTTTTTGTCCGCGAAGTAATTAGCAGCAGCAGGCCGCCTCCTATTGAGCGCACTCCAAGATTTTTTGGTATTTATTTTATGGAGAGAGACCAATTCCATGCCCATCGCCAGTTTGACCTTTCCGGGTGTGGGGCTTTCATCAGCAGTGCAGGGAGCTCTTTGCGCTTTTGCAGTAAACAGCTTTGACTGACACAGCACCCTCAATTCGATGAGTGGTCACTAATCACAAGAAGTATGCAGTGATCACAAGTCGAGGGAAGCTCAAGTCAAGTCTCTTGACCTTCAAGGAGATTTGAAAGAAAAATCCTGAAATAAGAGCACTTTGGACGATAGTTCGGTAAAAGTGCTTCTTATGAACGAATGCGGTCCTATTCTCAATCCCATTTGGTCAGAGTCTCGCTGAGGTATAACAAAA